CTACTCAAGGGGAAAAAGACTCCAGAATATATTTCCTCTTTTGACCCAAACAGCCTTTTAAAAAAAAAAAAAATCTTTGTGATTTTCTTATGCTTTAATGTATACTTTTAGTGCCTCAAAAACATGTGGTAAAAGCATTTCATAAGAAAGATGATATAATGACTCATGGGCAAAGAACAGATGACCCAGTTCGTTTGGATTTCAAAGAAGATATGAAAAAGATCTAATGCAGCTCAAAGTCATTGTTCTCCACATTCATCCTTTTAAGGACACGTTTGGTTCGATAGCTCAAAATCTCATCAGACTGCTGGAAACTGAGGGTGGGGATGGGAAAGGAAGAGCACTGGTTGAGTGGGGCCCAGGGCCACGCGGTTGGGAAGGGGGTGTGGCAGGGAGCCCTGTGCGGAGCCGGGGGTGCAGAGGGTGAAGTGTCTTGGGGTGGGGTCGGGGGTGTCGGGGAGCCTCGGAGAAGGGAGGAGAAGGAAGAATCCACTGGGGACCCCACCTGCTTGAACCACCGCCAAGGGGCCCTGAGAGCTGCACCTGCCGAGCATCGATCACTCAAATCACCTGTGGCCAAGTCCTGGTCGCTGGCCGCTCCCTGCCTCCAGGGCCAGCTCCCCTGGAGGCCTCACAGGTGGCTCACTCCCACCCCCGCCAGCACCCTGCAGGGTTCCTCACCCTCCCCTGCCCTCCCCTGCCCTCCATCCGCCAAATCTCAGTGTTTTGCCTTTTCACAGCTAACAAAGCCCCAGTCCCAACAAAAACAAACTTCCACATCAGAGTCACTAAGAGCAAATGTTATTTGAAGTGATCCTTACGCTTTTCTAATTCCTCTAAAATAATAAAATAATATAATGTATTAGCAAAATGAGATTCAGCTGCTTCAAGGAACTGTGGTTGAACCCAGGAGGGAGTGTGCAGCGTGAGGACCCCAGCTTCCTCTTCTGTCATTGCGGGGAACCCCAGTTGTCCGGCAGTCACAGCACAGCCATGACACCCCAACACTGTTTTCTAGGCTTCCTCGTCAGTGTCTCCCTGACTCAAGTGGTCGGTAAGTGCTGCTTTTCTTTTAATTGCTCACAGCTTTGTCATCTGAGCCTGCTCCAGGGACTGTCAGAAATGGCAATGGCGCTTCTCTGGGCTTTGTAAAAATTTCAGTATCTTTTGTGACACAATGGTCAGAGCAGACCTGTGGGCAGTTTCTATCTGCAGCCTGAATAACTCCACGGGACTTAATGAGCTGCTACTAAAGAGGAGGCACTCTAGTGGGGGCAGAAAACTCCAACCACGGCAGAGGTACATCCATCTCTCCATCTCCTGAGTGTTTCTTTTGCCTTCCTGGGACACGATAGCATAGCGGTTGCCAGCGCAGGCTCCTAAGCCACGCTGAGTCTGGATTTCAACTCTGCTGTTTATTATCTAGGGACCGTGGGCAATTGACTTAACCTGGTGCCTCAATTTCTTCATCTGCAGAATGGGGATTGTAGGTCACTTGAGGATTAAATGAGTTAATATATGCCAAGTCTTAGGGCAGTGCCTGGCACAGAATAGAGATCGTAAACATGTGAGAATCTGCTGTTGATGTTCACTGAGAACTTTTCAGAGCACAGAGCATCTTATCACCCCACCACACCTCTGAACAAGGCCTTAGAACCCCTAGTTAACAGAGGGTTACCTTAGTGTAAGGGGTTCAAGTAACTTTCCCAAGACTGGACAGGCGCCCAGTGACTGATAATACAAAACAATTCAAGCCTCTGTCCCCCAGAAAGGTGTGGATTTGAGAAGGTGATACCAAGGTGATACCAAGGACTCAATTAGCAAAACATGGTGGGAAGTCAAGAGCTACAAATGGTCCTGGCTCCGCGTCTTACAGGCCTGTAACCTTGGGCAAGATATGCAGTGTCCTCAAGCCTCAGTTTCCCCATCTGTAAAGTGTACTAATAAAAATACCTACCCTATCGGTGGTTGTGAGAATGAAGCAAGATGGAAAGCCTTGGGCACAGTTCCTGATATATGTTTAATGCTCTTATATGTCCAATGATCAATGAATGCCAGCCAGGGGAGGAGGAGGAAGAGGGAAAGAAGGAGGAGGAGGAACAGCATCCTTCAGCCTCTCATTGCTCTGCTCCTCCATGAGCTCCTCTCCCCCAGGCTAGGCTCTTGGTTTTCTGTGGGACATGAGAGGTAGGCTCTAGGTCAGACTGCCTGCGTGAGAAATCTGCTTCACGATCTGCTGCTGCGCGAGTTCCTCCACCTGTCCAAGGCTTGGTTTTTTAGTCGGAAAAAGGAAGATGACAATAGCACCTTGGCAACAGAAGAGCTGGGCAGATTGACTGAGTCAATGAGGGTGAAGCCCCTCTGTGTCTGGAACAGTCATTTGCTGTTATTGTTGATGCGGGTAGCAGGGGTGGTGTCACAGAAGTGAGAGAAGAAATGCACAGACAGATGAGACAAGGGGCACTGAGCCATCGATCTTCAGGGTAAAGTCAACTCTGAGCAGGGTCTCCAGGAAACTGTGCCTGTCATATCCTGAAAACTTCTGGAATTTTTATGTCCTAAATATGATTGATTAGGTAGTGATTTGGTGAGCAGAATCAGTGGTGGCATAGACTCTGTGGGGGAAGAGGGAGAATCCCCCTCTGCCCTTTCCTTTAAGGTCCTTATGGCTGGCCAAATAATTAACAAGACAGGTTAACAGGAGAAAATAATACCAAGTTTAATAACATGTATACGTGGGAGAAACCAGGGACACTGAGTTGCTCAACACAATAGCAGAGATTCTCATCTTAAATACCATCTTCAACTAAAGACAAAGGAGGATGTTGGGAGTGGGGGAGTCAGTTACAGGAGATTACCACTAAAGCACAGTAAACAAGAGTAAGGTTATTATGCAGATTTAAGGCCTCACCTTCCACATTGATAAGTTTCTAGAAATGAGGTCATCTCCCGTCTTCCCAATACAGAGAGGGAGATACCTTTACAAATGGAGAATTCCCATATAAATGTAAATGTTTGTCTGGCAACTCCTTGCAGGGCCATCCAGAGAATGTGGCCAGAGAGACAGAATTTTTGATAAGACGGGCTTGTTGGTGCCTGTCCTATTGTAACATCTATTTTACATTATATTACAGCCATCAGATAGTAACTCCTTCCTGGAACAGATCTTCTACGTCAAATTCTTTAGGCAGTTAGTGGGGGAGGTCAAATGTCTGTCAGAGAAAACAATCAAGGTAAAGAGATATATTTCAGGGTGGCCAAATCTTGATCTCCCACAACTCTTTCCAAGTACACTCCCCATTTGATGCACTGGAGGAGATCCAAAACATAAAACAAAAAACAAATAACAGTATTAACATTATTTTGTTGGTATAAATAAATACCTAAGGCAACAGCCCTGTTCATTAGAACATAACAAATCTGGAATGTTCAGAGCTGAGATCATGGGCCTAGGAGTCTTTTCTTCCAGCTTAACAATACTTGAGCAAAGATTTGAAGGAGATGAAGAGATGAGGCATGTGGAAATCCAGGGAAGAATATTCCAGGGAAAGGGAAGGGCCAGTGCAGAGACCCTCAGGTGGGACCACCCCCAGCACGGTGGAGCAGGAAAGGAGACCACTCTGGAGAAGCCAGGAGGAGGTGCAGAAGATGAGGTCAGGGAAGAGATAGAGGGTGGGCTTCCTGCCTCCCCCTTCCGCCCAGCTTCCCATGTCTCCTCAGAAACTTCAGGCCTGTCAGGAGGCGAGGCTTTACCTCTGCCCATCTTGGGTTTTCAGCTGGGACGCTTTAACAAAAAGGCAGATTAACAAGAGAAAAACAAACAGTTTATTAACTCATGCAGCTCACACCGCGAGGGAGAAACCTAAACCAAGAGTAACTCCAAGTGGCGGCCTGGAATTCCAGCTTAGATAGCACCTTGACAAAGAGCAATACATCTGTAGAGACACAGCAGGACAAAGGGAAGCAGTTCTAGGCTTCCAAGGGCAGCCAACTGTGGGAAGTGAATACATGGGAGGAAGCGAATGGAGGAAGGTTTGTGTGCAGACTCCTCTGGTGCTGATAAGAGTCTGTCTCCGGTAAAAGGAGAATTTACATCCTGCCTTTAGGCAGAAACGGGGGAGGGTAGAGAGAGCTTTTCCTGCTGCTTCTTAATTGCCTGCAGCTCAAAATAGCTTTTCTGTCACAGCGGTATATTTTGGGGTGACATTTTATGGTTTCCTTCAGAATGTAGAATAAAATTTTGTCAAAGTTCTCCAGCCTCCACATGACTAAGTGCAGGTGAGACTGGGCCACCCGTGTCGCATGGTTTGAGGAAGAAAGCACAAGGCATGCCGGTGTGAAAGTGCCCCCTTTCCCACCATGATTACTGTCTGGACTCTCAGCAACACCAGCCCCACGGCAGGGTCTTGGGCGGTCTCCCTCCACAGCGTGGACCAGGGCACCTGAGCAATCGTGGGGGGGTTGGAGCCAGGGCACCAGCAAGTGAGTGCGGCCATTCAGGAGTGGGACAGCTGGGACAAAGCCAGGTCAGCCGGGAGAGGTGGAAGACGTGAGGCAGGACTCAGAGATGGAGTGAGAGCCTGGGAACCGGGGAAAGCCCACCGAGTGCGGGGCTGAGGTCCTGGAGCCAAAAGTGATCCCAGGTAAAAATCTGCTTCCAAGTTATTGGTCATCCGGGCCTCCTGGGAAGGTGGGCGAGCGGCCGTGGTGTGACCCTTTCGTCACAGTGGTTGCGTTCCATCACCGCTGGGGAAGGGACCAAGGACAACATTTTTTCACTGCTGTTTACTTCCCCTGCAGCCTGAGAAAGGGGCAGGAGGATATCACTTATGTTTTTTAGTCCAGAACACAGTTGTTCTGAAATTTTAGCGGGCATCAAAGTCATTATGTTTAAGAATCAAAATGTTGATTCCTGGGCTCCACATCCCCCATCTGCACTACAGCAACCACTGAGGGGGTCCTGATGCAGGTGTTAACATTGAAAACTACTGCTAATGACGATGACGCTCGCATCAGAACTCAGTGCTTCTCATTCTCTTGTCGTTGTAGGAGCTCAGCCAGCCCCGGCGTCTCTAAGGCCTCAGAGGGTACATTTCCAGTCCCACAATTTTCACAACGTCTTGCACTGGCGCCCTGGGCGGGCTTGTACCGGCAACAGCAGTCTCTATTTTGTGCAGTATAAAATGTAAGTGATTTGAGTTTCCTCCAGCTGACAGAGGTGGCCACTGGGGCAACGTGTTCTGGAATGCAACGGAGTGTTAGGATCTGAGATTTTTTCAAAAGTTTCAGAGGGGTTGAGAAGAACAGAGGTAGGGACAGAAGTGTCTTGTCTCCCCTGAAGGCTGCCTAGTGACACAAAATGCACGATGACATGCAGGCTGCTAGGGACACACTTCATCCCTCGGAGACCCACTGAGACCTCACAAGCACAGCCTTTGGCTCCACGCAGAGCCTGGCATGTGGGGGCTCTCAATACACATTTGCTGAGTGAACGTTGGAAGCGACTTGTTTAGCACATAGTAGGGACTCAAGTTGACACTACTGATAGCTTGAGAAAGAAATTGTGGGACACATGGAGGTCAGTGTGTAAAACACATTTTTAATTTAAAAGTCTTTTTTAAGAGTTGGCTTACTATTTAGAAAATTCTTTTCAAAATTAGAGGCTCCCGTAAAGCTGGACACAAATGAGAATGTGCTGCCTCTCGTTCCTCTCGAGTGACCTTCAGGCTAGTTCTGGAGGATGGTTGCCAAGGCTCAGATATAACCAACTCCTTCCCTGGATGGAGGCCTGGAAACAGAAGCTCCTGATACGCAAATGGCAGGTTTTCCCACTTACACATTTCCCGGGGATTTTGAGGCTCTTTCTCCTTTTACACAGTTCGAAATGCTGGCTAAGCCTGAGGCAGGAGATATTACAGTTTAGCTTTCACGGTTTTTCATTAGAAATTCAGAAAATCAGATGCAGACCAAAATAGCAATTTTTATTTCATAACTTCATCCATATCTCTCCAGCGAGGTGGTAGGTCCAGGGTCAGATTTTCCCATTCATTAACCTCTTGCTGACTTCAGCAGGACCGGCCCCAGAAGTTTCTCAGTCTTTAATTGCCACTGCTTTTCTCAATATATTTTGTGTAGCAACTCTAAAAGTTACAAATCTTCACAAGAAAGATTTCTCCATTCTCCACACAGATTTGTGCACAGTTGGAGATGTTTCCAGCACGTGGGTGATAGGGTTGGCGCCCCTTTTATATTTCCCTCTTAGGCAGCGTAAATAGGTCCAAAGTGGGCCTATTTGTGGTCCAACATAAAAGTGGATTAGAAGTTGTTTTACCATGAAACTAATGAAGATTAAACTTCAGGAAGAATTTCATACTTGTAATTCTTTTTCTTAAAGAGGGCCTCCAGACTGGTATAAAATTCAGAACTCCTGGGTCTATTCCAGTCTAGATGGTATTTTCAACAGCACAAGGCAGAATCGTATTTTTGAAATCTTTCACTTTGGTTCTACCCAGTTTGCATGGGTCTATTGTGAATATCTTTCCCACTTGGGATAGGACGAAAAACAACGTATCACATTAAAAGAGAAGCCAGTGGGGCCGGCCCCGTGGCTTAGCGGTTAAGTGCACGCACTCTGCTACTGGCGGCCCGGGTTCAGATCCCAGACTCGCACCGACGCACCGCTTCTCCGGCCATGCTGAGGTCATGTCCCACATACAGCAACTAGAAGGCTGCACAACTATGACATACATCTACTGGGGCTTTGGGGAAAAAAAGGGAAAAAAAAGGAGGAGGATTGGCAATAGATGTTAGCTCAGGGCTGATCTCCCTCACAAAAAATATAATAAAAAAATAAATAAGAAAAAGAGAAGCCAGTCATAGCTAAATTCAGCTAGCAAAGACAGTGTCTCATCAATAAATAACAATTAAAAAACATTAAATTGTCCTCAATATACGTTGTTTGTTCTGCTTTAATGGTAACTTGTGATATAATGAAACTGCTCTCATCACACAGTTTTCAGAGTACAGACACCAGCAATATCCCTCATTATACGCCTAGAAAGCCATGTTTCAAGTCCTTCAACAAATATTTTGGAAGCCTTTCTCCCAGCCTCTAATTCCTGCTGTTGCCACCATCATCTTATTGCATTTTCTGAAGCGTTAATCTTCCCTTTTGCTGTCACACCATCCCATTGCCTTAGACCGGATCATCTATCTGCCTCTTTGCCAAACTACCTTCTTGATGGGTTCTCTTCCTCCCTCCCAGCCCCTCATTACAGGAGTCCTTATAAAGCCGTCACTACAACCCCCGCTCCTTTCAATGAAGAGCTTGAACAGATGTGTTGAGCAAGCTTCACCTGAGATGAAAAGCGGTAGCAACTTCTCAGAATCAGCCACATTACTCAACAGCAAGCTGATGATGAGAAGTGAAGAAAACCACAAAAGGGTGAAACCTCAGAGACATCATGGATGTGGAGAGATAGCACTCAAAAACGGAAGACGGTCCAATCACCAAAAGAAAAACTCCACTGAGTATTAAAAACCAAAAACTCTGAGGCGGTGACACAGAAGGTGTCAGGCTTGAGTTTATCTTTCAGCAAGATGGCACTTTGGTTAAGAAGAAGTTGTTTTTAAAGACAATGAGGAGTAGCCATAAGCTTTCACAGTGGTACTGATGTTGGAGGAGAAATTTCAACCAGTCTGAAAAATTAATAAACTGAAAAACTGAAGTCTCCTTCTGCGAAAAAAAAGAAACTCAGCTCTTTGTCTTTTCCCTTCTGTAGGTATGGACAGAGACAATGGAACAATAAGGCGGACTGCTGGGGCATTCAAGAATTCTTCTGTGACCTAACCAACGAAACGTCAGACATACAGGAGCCTTACTACGGGCGGGTGAGGACGGCCTGGGCTGGGATCCTCTCCGGCTGGACCATGACGCAGCGGTTCATGCCCTGGTGGGAAAGTGAGTGCTGTGAGCTTCTTTGGTTCTCCTTCCTGCGCTGGCACTGCCCTCCGAGAGTGGGGCAGGCTGCCAGGCCCGGGGCCTCGCAGAGGTCCACACCCTCATCTCATTTGATCTAGTTCTTGGAACAGCTCGAGAAGGTGGTTTTCCCCACCCTCACTTCACAGCCCAGGGAATCGAGGCACGGAGACTCCAGCCGTTGTCCAGGCCTCAGAGGCTGCATAACCCAGGTCAGGATTCAAATTCTGCTGCGTCTGACTGCAGAGCCACAGCGCCCCCCGCCAGGTTGTTCTCTCCTAGAAGAAAGAAGTATTTTTAGATAGCAGAAAAGGAGTCACATTGCCCTAGTCCCTTCCTAAGCATGAGGATTAAGTTCCTGAAAATACTCATTAGAAGAATTTTCTGTTCTGAAAATTAAGACTTTTAGTCACCTCCCCAAAAGGGGAGACCAAAAGTGCTCTTGAATCCATTTCACAATGATGTATTTTCTTCTTCTAATTTAGTCATAATCCCAGAATAATATATTATAACTTAAAAGGTAAATTATAAGATAAGCTATTACCAACAGACCTTATAGAAAATAGTAGACAAAAGGGAAAGAGAAAAAACAAAGTATTTAATGTACACAGGCAAAGATATACATAACAAAACAAGAAAGAAAACATGGGTATTTACTGCAGTCCTCATAACAGTAACCAGTCACGGAGCTGTGGTTAGTGTTCACAACTTCTTCTCTCGTTATTAATTCAATGTTCAATTTCTTTCCAGCCTCCACCTCAGCTCTTCATTCTGGAGGAGTTTGAGTCCTTTTGGTCTTGCCGTTATTAGCTTGACATGATCTGAGGTTACTTTTGTCACTGAATCTAGGCGTTCTAGGGGGCACCCTGAGGATGCCAGGCATACCCCCGCCTGACCCCGCTCCCTTTCCCATCGACAGTCAGAACCAGTCGCCCTAGACCGCACAGGCCCTCATTGTCTCCTGTTGGTTGAATGGCACGAAGAGCTCCAAATGGTCAGGAGGCTCGACTCCCAATTCTTTGAAACCATTGTTGTCATAACCCAGAAGAGTTAGGGATCAAGTGTACGAGAAACAAACCATTTCTTGAGTCATTGACTATGACTCCACCTCCACTTCTTGTATCCTAGGCCAGTGAATTCTGTCTGTGGAAGACATAGCACCATTTACTGGTCACAAGATTAGAGCATATACCGATTCATGTACCACCTCACAGGGTGTTGTCTCTCAAACGGAGTTTTCAGTTATCCACTTTACCTTCCTATAAGGCCAGGGACTTCTGAGTGATGGGATATATAGTAAGGCCAAATATTCCTGTGGGTATGAGATTTTACTTCACTTCTTCCACATTAACTTAGTTCTCTTGTCATTAGCAATGTGTCTTGGGCTGCTGTACTCATGAAGAAGGCATTCACTACCCCCATGGTGGTCAGGGGGACTGCTGATTAGAGCATTGAAGCAGCAAAGACAAATCTATTACCAGAGGAGTGTCGGCTCCAGTGTCTCTCGTCCCCTCCCTACTGGAAGGGATAAAAAAATCTACCTTGGCCCTGTGGCGCAGCGGTTAAGTGCACGCGCTCCGCTTCGGCGGCCCAGGGTTTGCAGGTTCAGATCCCAGGGCGCACCGACGCACCACTTGTCAAGCCATGCTGTGGAGGCGTCCCATATAAAGTAGAGGAGGATGGGTACGGATGTTAGCCCAGGGCCAATCTTCCTCAGCAAAAAGAGGAGGATTGGCAATGGATGTTAGCTCAGGGCTAATCTTCCTCACACACACACACACACAAAAAAACCTACCTAAAATGAACTGTACTAGGGGTTCAGCATTCGTCCTCCTTACTGAGGAGTTGAACGCTCAGCAGTGTCCATCAGGCTTTGGCAAAGGGAAGTCCGTATTGTTGAGTCTACGTATAGCCTCCATCCCTTTCACACAGCCATTTCGTTCATGAGCCCATGGAGCAGGTGTGGGACACGGGGGAAAGCGGTTCTCACTGCCTCCACTTTTTTTTTTTTAAATAGCTATATCGAGATATAATTCACATCCCTTACAATCACCCATATAATGTGTACCATTCAGTGGTGTCTAGTATATTCACAGATATACACAACCGTCACCCACAGTCAATTAGAACATTCTCATCGCCTCAGAAAGAAACTCCACGCCCTTTGGCTCATCCTCCTCCTCGCTCACTCCTCCAGCCCCGCAGCCCTAGGCAACCTCCAGTCTACTTTCTGTCTCTGTAGTTTCCTGTTCTTGATGGTTCATATGTGTGGGATCATATAATACGTGATCCTCTGTGACTGGCTTCCTTCATTTCGCATAACGTGTTCAAGGTTCATCCACGTTGTAGCGTGTGTCAGCACTTCATTCGTTGTTGTGGCCACGTTGTCTGGATGGACCACATTTTGTTTCTCCATCCATCAGCTGATGGACATTTGAGTTGTTCTCACCTTTTGGCTATTATGAACGTGCTGCCGTAAACATTCATGTGCAAGTTTTTGTGTAGACATACGTTTTTATTTATTTCTCTTAGGTATATTTCTAGGAGTGGAATGGCTGGGTCACGTGGAGACTCTACGTCTAATCATTTGGGGAACTGCACACTGGTTTCCAAAGCAGCTGCACCGTTTCACATCCCATTAGCAGTGTACGAGTGTTCCCATTTCTCCACGTCCTCAGCAACACTCACCTGACTTGTTGATTACAGCTGTGCTCGTGGGTATGAAGTGGTATCTCGTGTGGTTTCGATTTGCATTTCCCTGATGATTAACGGTGTTGAGCATCTCTTCATGTCTTTGTTGGCCATTGTGTATATCCCTTTGAGAATTGTCTATTCAGATCCTTTGCCCATTTTTTTTGTGTGTGAGGAAGATCAGCCCTGAGCTAACATCTGATGCCAATCCTCCTCTTTTTGCTGAGGAAGACTGGCCCTGAGCTAACATCTGTGCCTATCTTCCTTCACTTTATATGGGATGCCGCCATAGCATGGCTTGATAAGTGGTGCGTCAGTCTGTGCCCAGGACCTGAACCTGCAAACCCCGGGCCACCAAACCGAAGCACACAAACTTAACTGCTAGGCCACCGGGCCAGCCCCCCTTTGCCCATTTTTAAAATTGGATTATTTGTCTTTTTAGTATTGAGTTGTAAGAATTCTTTGTAAATTATGGATACCAGTCCCTTATCAGATATATGATTTTCAAATATTTTCTCGCATTCTGTGGTTTGTCTTTTCACATTCTTGATGGTCATTTGAAGCACAAAAGGTTTTAACTTTGATGAAGTCCAATCTATCTATTTTTTTCTCTTGTTGCTCATGCTTTTGGTGGCGTATCTAAGAATCCTTTGCCAAATCCAAGGATATGAAGGTTTAAAACCCTAAGTTTTCTTCTAAGAGATTTATAGTTTTAGTTCTTACATTTAGGTCTTTGATCTGTTTTTAGTCCATTTTTGTATATAGTGTGAAGCAAGGTTCCAACCCCATCCTTTTGTATATGGCTATCCAGTTGTCCTGGCACCATTTGTTGAAAAGATAATTCTTTTCCTGTTGAATGATCTTGGCACCTTTGTTGAAAATCAGTTGACCATAGACCTGTGGGTTTATTTCTGGTTCCTCAATTCAGTTGCATTGATCTATATGTCTATCCTTGAGCCGGGACCACACTGTCTTGATTGCTGTTGCTTTGTAGTAAGTTTTGAGATTGGGGAGCATGAGTCCTCCTACTTTGTTCTTTTTTTTCAGGATTGTTTTGGCTATTCTGGGTCCCTTGGGATTCCATACCCACCTAGATTTTTGAGAGCTTCCTTTTGGTAGGTGGCTTTTGCCTTGCATTCACATGGACGCAGAAATACTTGGTTAGGGGTCTGTGTGTATACCTCTTCTCCAGACCTCTGCCAGCACCTGGGTGGTATATAATGCTGCAGCCATCCACTTCTGACCAGTGCCATCATGTCATGCAGAACCTTCTGGAAACCAGCTCCTTTTTTTTTCTTCCTAAGGTAACTGGTCGTAGGGAACTCCTCAAGAACCCATAATTATAGGGGAGGTAGAAGTAATAAGACAGTAGGTAAAGATGCACTGGGAAGATGGGCAACCTACTTTCACAAATTAGTTCGATGTTAAGACCTGCTAGAGGCTGGGCTCACATAACACTTTTCCACTTAATGCTGGCATATTTCTGTGCAATTTATGACTAGGTGTATCAGAGGACATCCAGGTCATAATAGGAAGCTCAGGTCCCATGGTTCCTTGATGTCCCAAGGTCAGGGGTTCAGTTTCTATCAGGGCCCAGTAAGAAGGAAGTCTGCGGTTTTTTCTCAAAGGAAATATAATTATTTGCTGAAGAGGGTATGACCTTGTTCCAAAAATCCAGGGGCCTGGAATTGCCACAGTCTCTACATAGCATTGTGGTCTGCCATAGATGTTTTGAAGACTGTTGGATCTTCTGGATCATAAAAGACAAGTGGTAGGGCTGCTTCTTGGCAACGTGGACCGGCTGAGAAGTGTGTCTCTTAGTTTGGGTTCCTCTCAAAGCTGAAAATCCCATGGGTTACTTTGCAGATGTGTAGCTCAACTAAATGTGGTATGTGTTCCCTCCAACGTTCATTGAGGCCCAACAAGCCCAGTGAAGCTTTCTTAGCAGTAGGGGATAGAAAGAGAAGCAATTTGTCTTTCACTTGAGAGGAAATGTCTCAATGAACCCCGAGGAAATTTAACTGCAGCATTCTGCTTCCATGTGTCTTACTAAAGCGTCTGCAGTGCATGGTCCTCTAGGCCACCAAGTACAATCAGTGTCGTGTGATCAATTTAGTGGGCCAACATGGTATACCATGGATCAAAGATCAAAGACTAGACTGTATGTGACAGAGAGCCAGGGTGTCAATGAAAGCCAAGTAAAAGGAAACTGTTCTGGTGCTTTCTAATTATTGGACCAAGGAAGGAGAAAAATCATTCTCCAAATCAATAGCTGTGTATCAGAGGCTGTG